ACAAAATTTATCTTATATTCTAAAAACTATTAAACATACCATTTGATGAAATTATTAACATACCATTTTATGAAATTATTATCTTTATAGGATTATTTTATCTATTATCCATAGGTCATAATAATTATTTATACCTTCCAAAGGATTATCATCTTAATTTCTCTTAGTTGCCTTCGTGGCATTTTTATATCAACTCATTTTGTATATTTCAACCATATTAGTTATACCTTCAGAAAGAGGACTTCATGACTTTCCTTAGTAACCACTAGGATCTACATGCATTATTTCACAAGTTGTCTTCAAGATGTGCTATCTCTACCTCCAATATGCCAGGCCCCCCTCAATCTTCCTATGCTACCTCAGTTATTATCTAAAGGATGTACTACCTTCATTTGTAACAAGATGAGCATCTCAATCATCGTCAATAGCCTCCCCGATCTTTCAATATTTCTAAAAAGTTATATTACCTTTACCCCTAGGAAAAGGACTAATTGGCCACACTTGTTGGCCTCCTATGACCTTCTTTTTTTCTCTTGATCTACTATATAAAAGTTGTGTAACCTTCACTCCTTAGGGAGAGAACTAATTTATTAATCCCTTGTGAATTCAAGGGCAATTTTATTCTACCTATTATGACACCTAAAGGTCATTCCACCTTCACCTTTATTGAGAAGACATATTTGATAAATCCTCATAGTCTCGAACGAGATTCCTACATTGCATTATTTTTTTTAAGGGCTCAATGCCTTCACCTTGAGGAGAATGACCATTCTAAGCACCAATAATCTTCACAACCTTCTAAAACTGTATCATTCACTACCACTAGGTCATTATTACTTTACCTCAAGGAGTATAGTCTTAGAAACAATTAGTTTTTTTAATGGCCTTTTATCATGAAATTTTTGTTGTTGTTGCCTTTTAACTCATGTTATCTTGGCCTCACAAAGGACAACTATATTGATAGTTGACCTTACCACATCGATAATATCATTGATATTAGTCACAACCTACTTTTATTTGTTATATTTTTGAAGGATAACTCTTTTTGATTCATATCTAAAATTGCAAAAACTTTATTAATTAGGTTAAACACCTTTTTTTTTAGATTTTTCAAATTAAACATTTTATGCTCTATGTTTGCTTTATTACATCTCTAATTTTATGTGTATTGATTATTATTTGTAATCAATGATATTAAAATTAAATCTCATTTTTTCTCTCTAATAACATGACTTTTAACACACAAATAGTCTTTATGATCATAATGAAGATACTATAGTAGTCTATTCAAATAATTTATTCTTATATATTTAAAAAATATATGTGGAATATCATATAATCAATTAAAATAACAATTATGATGACATCATATCAATTTTCTTCCATGTTATTATTAAAATCTAAATAATTAGATTATTATTGATAACTAAAATTATATGTCATAAGATATTTCTTAGAGTTTTGAATTACCTTTGCTTAGAAAATTCAAATACACTAAGTTAAGCAAAATATATTTTTTTCTAATTCGGGCTAATTTAGACCTATCTCCTACATAAAAGGGAGAATACATAATAAAATTTTTCCTATAAACTAGGGATTTGTTACATATGATAATAACAATTCTGATTATAAATGCATATGTAAACCTTTGCTTTAAAATATTATAATCATCTTAAATAAGTGAGATTCTTCATTATAAACAAGGACATGGTTTTTATTGACATATTGTAATTAATTTATTGCATTATGGATCTGACCAACTTGAATCTTCTCTCAATATGGAGGTGTGAGTTGATGAGTTTTATAGTTATGCAACATGAATTAATATTAAGGGAGGCTTTAGTCATTATAGAAAGTGATAAATTCATCTTGAGTTTTCTCTTATAATATCATGATCAAGCTAATCATCATCAAGTCAAATAGTGATTCCTCCTAGTCATTCAAATACTCATTGCATGGCAAATCATGAGAAGCTTGACTGCAAGACCCACCCGTTGAGCAGGGACAAAAGTCGACCTTAGCAGATCTATCTACACAATGAGCATTGTAGTGAAATCTTAATGCATTGGTCAATAATCTAATTATATGCATTATTCATGAATGATTTCTCGCTCTCATACTAACCCATTTTTTTCTCTTTTTTTTTTCAATTTTGAATTTCAATCTTAGCATTTTTATGAATCTTGTTGCTAATATGTGCATCAGTCCAGATCTCAGTATTCTTTATAAAATAAAGATGAAGAATTCTATGATGAAAATATTTTCTATCTTGATAATTCATAGGAAATGAGTAGAAGAATGCAAACAAAATATTATTGATTGGGTCCAAAGTGATTGGTACAACTTCAATTCTCTCTCAAAGGGGATTATTTTGAGATGAATAGATTACAACAAGGTGGGACATCATAAGCCCCTTAACTAGAAAAAAAAAACCCCCTTTGATGTGGATGAATTGCATGGTACTTAGCATATGTTTGCATAATCAGAGAGAGTCAACTTACCGCTCATTACACAATAATTATATTTGTGAATGTCAAATAAATTAATTATACTATATATTTATTTGTCTAATAATTTAATTAAATTATTAAATCGTAGTAGCAGTATATAATCATTTTGCTTGGTATAGGCATCTTCAGTGAACACCAAAATAACTTGGATATAGTACTTCCAAGTACGTATTACAGTAATTATCCATCAAGGTCTAGGGTGGTTGGTAGGCGAGCACGATTGGGAACCTTTCATATCCCGTGTTCGAATCCCCTCTACTACGGCTTCTACTCTTTAGTGGGGCAAAGTAAGTGTAGGCCCGATGCCCGTGGTTGGTACGTAGGCGAGCACGATTGGGAACCTTTCATATCCCGTGTTCGAATCCCCTCTACTACGGCTTCTACTCTTTAGTGGGGCAAAGTAAGTGTAGGCCCGATGCCCGTGGGTGGCCCTGCTAGGTTCCGCATAGGAATTACTAATTATGCTGCCAAATGCTCCCTTTGAAGTGGCAGCGGGTAGATACCCCTGCTAAAAAAAAAGTATTACAGTAATTTACAAAGAGAAAAATGGGTCTGGCCTTCAAATCAAATCACAACCGTTAACGTTTCTTATGCTAAAATCAACACGTTTCCCATTTCTCACTAGCCCTATTATGTATTAAGCAATACATCGCTATCTTCTTCCGTGTATTGTCACGGCACATCCTGGACGTTCATCCACTAATAAACTCTCACAACTCCACTTTAAAATTGATACACATAACACATGTATCTTAATTATGATAATTAATACAGTTAATCAACTATTAACAACCCTGTTAACTTCTAAAGATCAGTCCTAAACTATGTAGTTAAGACATCTTTTTTCGAAAACCAACTGCTTTTATCAATTAATCCGAATTTTTTCTTCTGTTATTGGCGGATTATATACAAATACAATTATTTTAGTCGGGATTAAGACAAACCTCAGCCGGCTAATTAAATTAATTAATTAATGGAACGTGAAATTAAAGGCTTGCTTGCTGTCTCCAAAAACCCGGTAGACCTATGACTTCCTGCCACGTGGAGGGTGGTAACCTAACTCTTCTTTTTTGCTTACGTGGCATCTCATACCAGCTAATCATATTGATGGTTTGAGGAATTAGCTTACAGTGCAAGGGACATCAAAAGCAATATAAACGGACAAATGTTCTTTGGGTGGACTTTAAAAAAACGTGGGCCTATATTTATTTTTTTTTAGAAAAAAAAAAAGCAAAAAAAGCCTTGTTTAGATAGATTTTTTTCTTTACAAATATATAAATTTTAGCAAAATTAATATAATAGTTATGTATATATGAACAAAATTAAAATAATTTCAAATTAATATAAGAATGACTTGCATTCTCCAAAATTGATATTAATTAACTCTCGATGCCTAATATTATTTAGGATTTGTTTGAGATAGTTGTTATTGTGTACATATAGTTATAAAATTATTATAGAGAAAATAATTATTTTGAAAATTGCTTTCTAGCATGAAACTTCTTAAAAATTACAAAAAATAGTCGAAAAATAGAACTGTGATTGAAGTCTGAAAAAATAATGCAGTAAGAAAATTGTCCCAAAAAAATTGTTCGCAACTCTCGAAAACAAAATAAAATATCTAATTAAGTTAAAAAAGTTTCAAATATGTTACATGTTAACCCCTTATACCTCTAAAGCTTGGTTGTCAATGATATTCTTTAAATTTAGAGCAAAATTTAGCTTGAAATATTCTGATTAGTTTTAAATTATCATAAGTCTCTAAATCCTTAAATTTATTTAAAATTAGTGTAATAATAAAGAATTTAATTGATTATTTAATATTGATTTAATCCTAAAATAAATTTAGTAATTATGAGGCTCATCCTCATATAAATTGGATCTGAATATTTTTATTTGAAAATAAATCTCAATATTTATGTGGAGATTTACTTTTACATTTTTACAAATATCATTTAAAGAAAATTATATATCCACAAATTGTTGTATGCGACTGTGCGTCTTCCCTGTTAACTACAAAGTTTCTAAAAGTGGTAGATTTTTGTCCCATCAGCATAACTAAATTTATTCAAATTTCTGTTAACTTTATATATATTCACTTAGCTTGTTAGGAAAAATAAAAGCAGTCTATGATTTGACTACTGTTAATAATACAATAAGTCACGGAAAGACCAAAATATTTGCATGCAATCAGTATCAATGTACTACGTCACAAATGAAAAATATTTAGCATTTTCTATATTCAAATGTGCCTAACCAATAAACAAAGATGGAACTAAAGAGGAGCATATAAGTACGCCATTATCTCTCTATAAAACCCACATCGTTCTCTTCTTCCTCACTGGAACTGCACTCTTTGCCTCCATTCTCCAACATCTTAAGGTAAGAAGCTCTGTGGCTTGAAGAGCATATACATAAATGATGATAGATTTCTAAATAATTTTTGCTTGATGTTATGTATATATGCAGGTGAGAAATTTATTTATAACAATGGGGAGATATCCTTGCTGTGATGAAGTGGGAGTGAAGAAGGGGCCATGGACGCCTGAAGAGGACCAGAAGCTTGTGGAATATATAAAGAAGAATGGGCATGGAAGCTGGAGGCATCTGCCGAAGAGTGCTGGGCTTAATCGGTGTGGTAAGAGCTGTAGGCTTCGATGGACTAACTATCTCCGTCCTGATATTAAGAGGGGAAAGTTCGAGGAGGAGGAGGAACGCCTCATTATTCATCTTCACTCCGTTCTTGGCAACAAGTAATTATTCCTCTGATTTTTTTTTTTTTTTGGAGAAATTGAGAATTTTATTAAGAATTTTCTATATAAATTAACTATTATTGGTGGTAGGTTTGGAAAGATTCTTAGGGCCCATTTTATTGCTTGTAGTTTCAAAACATCTTTTTTATTTTTTATTTTTTTTTGCTTTTCTTAAATATATGAGCTGTCAGAATTATCATTTGATTTGATTGGATGTATTTAGAAATTTCCCAAAAAAAAAAATTTAAATATATTTTTTTAGTATAAAGACCTCTTTCAAAATGATATTTTGTTGTTGGCATATGAGAATTAAATATATATATATATATATATATATATATATATATATATATATAATATATAAAGCAAACAAAAATTCTTGGGTAAGTGCATGCCAAATTATTATTTATTTATTATGCTTGTATAATATGCTATTTTTATTCAGTATTGCTCTTAAAAATTTGTATTAATTTGATATCAATATAGAACAATTCAAAGAAAAATGAAGATCTTATCCACAAGACTTTTTAATTAATACTAACGTAATAATTAAGCACTTTTGGTTGTAGAACGTCAAAAGTAAAGAGATTATCATATTAGCTCAGTTGTTCGATCATTTGACAATGATTTCGGTGGATATTATATATGCAGTATTGAATTATACAACATAAAATCATCAATATTCATCACAATAAATACCAAAAGAACTCATCTGGAGACCCCCACAACTTGTCAAAATTTAATCACAGGAGGGGGCATGAATTTAATATTTATTTAATAATATATATATATATATATATATATATATATATAAAATTAAAAATTATATCTATTTAAAATTGTATCAGGATATTATAATTTAATTTTTAGTAATATTAGGTGTGATCGTGGTCGATCAGAAAAATATCCGAAATCATAATAGAGAGCATGTCACCTACTTATCCACTTTAAATATGAGTGCTGCTTAATCAACGTGCCAATGATATTGAAATAGTATATATACTGTAATGGGGCACATGTGCACTTCAATATAATTAAACAAGTCTATCATGAAGCATCAGCTAACATTTTTCTTATTATTTTATTGAATACTTGTATGAAGACAGTAAAATTCTCTAAGCTTGTTCTAACAATAATAATAATCTATGCTAGATGGTCATCAATCGCAACTCGGTTGCCCGGTCGTACAGATAATGAGATCAAGAATTACTGGAACACTCACCTGAAGAAAAAGCTCCTCCTCATGGGCATCGATCCGATCACCCACCGGCCGATAACCAACCTCGATCTCATTGCAAACTTACCCAATCTCCTCTCCCACACCAACATCAAAAACTTATCAATATCATGTGATCAATCCCTTCATCAACTTCACACTGATGCAGCTCAATTTGCCAGAATCCAAATCATACAGAGCCTTCTGCATGTCCTATCTTCTCCTCATCCAACTTACCCAGCAGATATTCTCCTACAACTGATGAACAATAAGCTCGAGGGAATTAGCCAATTGGTTTCAGCACAAGCCGGTTTGATACCAAACGATATTGAAGGTTTAAAGCAATCAAGCAACGTATTTGATGATCAGGAGATTGCATCAAAGATTATGGATGATATTAGCAAACAAAGAGATCAATTGTTTTCAGCTAATGCTGATGGTGCTGTTGTTGCTGCAGCTAATTATTCATTCCCTTCTTTGGTTTCATCCTCACCAGAAAATGCATCGTCAGTTGATCATCAGAAGCAAATAGAGCAGATTATTAGCTCGAATTCGAGCTCAGCTGCAGCCTGTTCTTCGAGTTCGACGCCATTTGATGCTTGGGATGGTCTTCATTTTAGTGATCAGGATGCAGCCGAGCTTGGCTGGAAGGATATTTTAGAGTAAGTATATAAATATATCTATATATCCAAGAATCTTGTTACTGCAGTAATGGAGTCTGTTGGTTTGAGAAATATTAATAACATTAATAATTTTTTTACTGTAGACAAATATCGTGGTAGAGCTAATGCAGAAAGAACTAGCTGATCATTATTCGAGGATGTAGAAGAAGATTGCGCTCATAAAGAGAGATTCCATTTGATCAGAATTCGCTGGATGATTGCTATCCAAGGCTTTCATTTCAATGGATAGAGGCCAGTAAATACAGCATTTGTTTTTTTTAGCGAGAAAACAAAAATCACATTTTTTTTTTTTTTTTTTTTTTTTTTTTTTTGTAAAAAACAGTGATAAGATGAAATGGATCACAAAGGTCTTGTATCTATGAAGATTTGTTTGTTTTAAATGTTGTATATTTTTTGGGTTATTTAAAAGCTCTCATTTATCGAATCTAATTACTTTGATTGTGTTGGATGACCTATCTTCGTTTGAGTATTAGGTGGATTTGGGAAAGATGGCTCTCGTGGCAAATATATATATATTTTTTAATAATTTTTTGATGAGCTTCGCATTATGTTGGCTGATATTAAGTTGACTTCAAGCGAGTTTTACTGAACTAAACAATAAAAATTCTGATTTGTCTGCAAATTTGACTGATTTTTTTTTTTTAAGTTCAGTTGGGTGGAAAAATTTCAAGCCGAATGAAAGTTGAAATTTATGAACCAGATTTATATAGGATTTGAGTAGGGGTGTCAATGAATTGACCTTGACAATCCAATTAAAAAAAATTGGATCTAGGATGATCCTATTAATTTTTTTTTGGGTTGGTTTGAATTGAAAATCTTGATCATGTTAATTTTTTAGTTGGCTTTGAATTGACCCGAAAGCTTAAAATTAAACAAACATACCCCAATTATCATTCGAGTTTAGCTTAAAAATGTAAGTTGAGGTTAAATAAGTTAGTTTTGAATTAAATGAGTTGTATTTAGATTAAATGGGTCGTGCTGATCTAAAAAAAAAAAGAAAGAGTCAAATGAGTTAGATTCGGGTCAAATGCTTTTGTCATATGATAAACGAGTTCTGTTCGGATCAAGTTTAATTTATTTGATTAGGTTAATTTCGATTAGATTCAAACTTGACCCACCAATACGAATTGACACCCCTAAATTTGATTACAACTCAATACTCACTCTGAATTAAGGCAAATTTATAATCAAGCCCACTTTAAACAAACTTTTAAAATATGAGTTTAGTTTAATTTTAACATTACTAATGAGTCACAACAAGCTTAAACTGGATGGTCCTAATATAAATTTAACAATAACGGATTTTATTCATTGGATTTACTCTTAAATATTATTGCGCTCATCACAACATAAATTTAATAATTAAAAAAAAAAAACATAAATTTAATAATTATAAAATTCATCATCGTCAAATTTGAGCTAGGATGAAATTGGCTCAAAGATAAATAAGCTAGCTCAAAGTAAACTTGTCGATCAAATTGATCAATTTGATTACCAACTTGCTTTAATAATTTTTTTTCTTTTAAAATATTTATATTTTGAGCTGATCTTGAGCATATTTTATCTAACTTTTTATTCAAAATCAATTTGAATACCATATAGATAAAGATCTTGCCCTTTATTAGGAGAAATTATTATATGCGGAGACCGGACCCAAAACACTGTCTGGAAACTAGACCCAGAACGCCGTCCGGAAACCCACCAGAATGCGCCATGTCAGCGGTACCAAGCCGCGGCACCGAGCACATGGGTGATATGGCGCATTTTTTGTTGGTCACCGGACTGCGCTCGGTATCCGCACATAATAATTAATCCTTTACTAGACTCAATTCAAGATCGATCTTAGTCAAAAATTAACTCAATCTTAGAGCTAAATTCCCATCCGCCTGAATTAGCAAGATAAATATTTAAAGTATGAGCTTTTCTTTTGTTTATTTTGCATGAGCAGGAAGTCTTGGACTTTACAATATAGCATAAGTTATTATAGTAATTAGAGCTAGTCAATACCATTAGTCATATATTATAAATAGTCTTATTTCATATGTAACTTTCATGGCATCCCTCACTTTTGAAACCAAAGTCATACCATTAGTTACTAGTTAGGTATATGACTTGTTCCTTGAGCTTCAAGAAATTGACTGATGCTCCACAATTACCAAGAATATAACTATATTTGAGCTATCCCAATACCAACACGAGGTTTGTATGCGGGGTTCATGATTTTATACCTATTTTCTGTGGTTTACACAGAGGTTAACACCCAATCTTTCTTCATTTCTACAAGCAAACTTTTACAAATCTAGTTGAGTGCTAGCTTCAGTCATTGGTATATTTAAACTCCTAAAATCATACTTAATTTAATCAAAAGTATATCAGTCCAAACTTTGAACAGCTTTCTTTTGCATCAAGCAATTAAGCGGTTCTAAACTTTCACAAGTGCAGGTCACTAAGAACTGAGACAAATTCTTAATTATATTCTTTACTTAATGAAGTAGTGTTAGTGTTAAACTGATATCACATATTGCAATTAACAAGTCTGAAAAGCTACACGAGCAGTTGGAAATTTACTGGAGCAGTACTACGCTGTATATAACACTAAGCAAGTCACCAGCCAAGCAGCTGGTTCATTTTGAGAACCTAATTAGCACTAATCCATCAGTTCTGTATAATTAAGTACTAATAATTATATATTAAGATATTTTCTTCCTCATCCCCTGGCCTCCTGACCTCCTGATCATTTGCTGTACTAATGATCAAAGCTATGAATTTTTGTATTAAGTACTAATCCATAGCTTTGATCATTTGTTGTACTTTAAGATAAAAACAAAACATAAATGATCAATTAAATTTATAATATACTCATGTTAAAACAATTCAAACAATTATAATTAAAATTCATCTTAGTATTCGTTTGGGACAGCTTTCTTAATGCTTTCTAAAACAATATTTTAGTTTAAAATTTTCTTAAATAAGAATTTTTTGTACTAAAAAATTATTTTAAAAAACTTTTTCGAGCAATGAAAAAGCTTTCCCAAACCAAGCCTTAGTGATCAAATTTATTAATTAAGAATATCTTTATCTAATTTTTTTAAGAAGAGTTGGTCTCTTGAACTTGACTTTTTGAATCTCCATCTACTCTTATCCGATGATCAGTTCCATTTAAGAATTTAATTAATAATCTTCTCTACATCTGTATTGAATCCTTCCCTTCTTTCTGACCTAAGATCTCCTGATGATCTGTTATAACGTCCTTCACCAAATTTTTCAAGGAAAAAGAAAAGTAATAATACTTATGTCACTGTAAGAAATTTGGCCCATACATATCAGATCACAATGCCATAAAAAATGATGCTTAATATCAATCCTTCATTGTATTCTTTCCGAAAGTGTGAATAAACTATAAATATAATCCTTCAGTAACATTTCTTAACCACACGCTTTGAGCAAATGATTAAAGCAAAGTTAAATAAACTATTTTTCCTTAAATTATTCACATAAAAACCTAAAGTTCATTGCTCCAAAAGCCTTTTTGACTCTAAAGCTAGCATAGGAGAGGTTGAATCCTTTTAAGCATATTTAGGCTTCGTTTGGGACGGCTTCTTGCTCCTTTTTAAAGTAGCTTTTTAATACAAAAATTAAAAAGTTTGTACTAAAAAGCTGTTTAAGAACAGTAAGAAAACTATCTCAAATAAAGCCTCAGTCATCAAACACAGTGTCATCCTAAGTCTTATATATAAACGTCGGAAGACATTTACCGACGCGCACCAAACCGGCGCACAAAAATCCGACGGAAATGCGCCGGAAACCAAGTACTTCCGTCGGATTTTACATGTTATCGCCGGTAATAGAGTGTTTTCCTGTAGTGAATAAACAACATTCAAATTAACTTGAACTTCTCTTCTTATTCATTTTCATGATAGAAAATATCAGAAGATAAGCTGATTGATACTATCTACAAATTTCTAGAATTTCAAGCCTAGCTAGCCTACATTGTCTCTCTGAATTATAAGCAACAAATTGAGTAGGTAAGGCATTACCAACCCTCAAAGAATATAAGAAGTTGCCTTCTAACCTTAAACTATAATAGCTTTTTACATATTCAATGCCTGAATAAATCTCAATTCTATCACTGTTTCAATAACCAAACATAACCAACCAAAAAGCCCTACCAATGAGAGATCATAACTGAAAGGTGAACAAAGACGACACGCTAGCTTTCAGTTTATCATAAAGCCACAAACTAACCCTATCCGCTTGATACCAAACATCTAACCGAAATGGTTGCTCCAACATATAGAGGTGACCTTTTCATTTTTTATATATTTTGTTTTTTTGTTAGTAATAATAGAATACTAACAAATTAATGAAATAATATATTAGAATATTATTTTTAATTATTTTTGTTTGCTAGAATATACATGATTATTGAGAGTGATTTATCATATTAATGTTGTACAAAGATCTCACACAATCAAATAAATTAGAAGAAACACATATGATTAACAAAAGGTTGTCCTAGTTGAAATAACTTTATTAGTTGTAATTAATCTAGATTAACAAAAGGTTATCATTTCCCAATGGATCAATTAGGTATGATTAATATACTATAGAAGAACTAATATCACTATAGGAAAATAGGCCATCACTAGGGGGTGTCAAAATCGGGTTTCGGGTCGGGTTTCGATCGAACCTGGAACTGACCCGGGTTCAATCGGGTCGACCCTAACCCGATCCGGGTAGGTAAACGAGTCAGAAACTCGGACCCGGACCCGACCCGTCGAGTTGCCCGATTGACCCGACCGGCGGTACCCGACCCGACCCGGGCTCGCAGGCAGGACGCGGGCGCTCTAGCGTGCGTATTGCGTGCACAGTAACGTAGGGCACAAGTGTCAGGCACGAGCGGGGCAGCGCTTGGCATCTGCAAAGCTTCACGCGAGTATGGCAGCTGCTGGCGCGCGGGCAGTCCTTGGACAGGGCGGCGGG